TCTGTAAATTATTGTGCAAATTAAGTATGTTAGCATATTAAAACAATAGCACAGTGTCTGGCACAAAATAAGCTCTCAGTAAATGTAAGTGGTGGTGATTGTTGTTCAACCACCCACGCACTGTGGGAGTTCCTTCTACAATGTCTCTAGTATTGCTGACAGGTGGTTACCCAGCCTGTGATGATCACAGCACAGTCCTTAACCCTTTCCATGGCTCAGGCAGGTGATTAATAGTAATAAATAAATAACAGTAGCATATACCATTTACTAAGTGCATACTAGGCAGCAAGTACTGTGCTATCTATCTTATAACGACCTTGAAGGAGAAGTGTTATTATTCCCATTTTACAAAAGAAGAGATGGAGGCTTAGAGAAGTGGGAGAGCTGAGATTCCCACTTGGGTATCTGCCTACTAAACTGAGGCTTTTAACCTCTACACCAGTTGCACTGTCTTGTACATTAGAATCTGTTCTCTTGGCTTTTCTAGGGTGAGGCTTGGCCCTGGCAGGCATCATATAGGCTCATCTGTGACTTGGGTCCTGGAGTACTCTCTTGTGACTCCCCTCTTAGGGTTGATATTTTCCCTTCTCCACAGGAGATGGAAGTGAGCACGAGGGGGACACCCCTGAACTAGAAGCAGAACCTCCCAGAATGTTATCCAGTGTGTCTGAAGATACTGTTCTCTGGAATCCAGAACAGGATGAAAGCTGGGATTCCATGCCCAGGAGCTCCAGAGAAATGCTTCTGGGCCCACCTTTTCTTCAGGAAGATAGTTTCTCCAATCTTCTGTGTAACACAGAGATGGATTCCCTTTTAAGACCCCACACATGCCCTCAGTGTGGGAAACAGTTTGTGTGGGGCTCCCACCTTGCCAGGCACCAGCAAACCCACACTGGGGAGAGGCCCTACAGCTGCCTCAAATGTGAGAAGAGCTTTGGGCGAAGACATCACCTGATCCGGCACCAGAAAACCCATCTACATGACAAACCCAGCAGGTGCTCTGAGTGTGGCAAGAATTTCCGATGCAACTCCCATCTGGCCAGCCACCAGAGAGTGCATGCAGAAGGCAGATCCTGCAAGCCTCTAGAGGCTGGGGAGAGTCCCGGTGCCAGGAAACGGCAGCGCACCCCACCAGTGCCAAAGTGCCATGTGTGCACCGAGTGTGGGAAGAGCTTTGGCAGAAGGCACCACCTGGTGAGACACTGGCTGACCCACACCGGGGAGAAGCCCTTCCAGTGCCCTCGCTGTGAGAAGAGTTTTGGCCGCAAACATCACCTGGACAGGCACCTGCTGACCCACCAGGGACAAAGTCCCCGGAGTAGCTGGGACAGAGGGACATCTGTCTTTTGAAATCTGTTTCTCTGCAGCTGTGGTCAAACCCATCAGTTGGTGCTACCAGGAGTCTCTGCCAGGGCTGCCCTTCTCCTGCACCCCAATGACCAGAATCATGAGTGTTAGCCCCATCTCTAGAAAGATGAGGTTCCAGCATTGGGCAGAGCATTTCTCACCAGTTCTGTGAGACACGCACAAAAATAGGGCTCTTTATACAAAAAATTTTGGGAAACAGTACATACTATATGGGCTGATATTTAGCCTGAGCCCATTTTCAAGGATACAGTGGTACCAGCAGTTTGTGGCTGAGGTCCATTTTGATTGATTGGAGCCCATGCCACACGAGTTGTTAAATACTTTCGAGTTATCAGTCTTGTATACTATAACTAGTATATTTTCTCTCTCTTTCACACACACATATCAGCACAGTATGCACATTAGCATACTAAGGCTCTGAAAACTTTTGCAGTAGAGCAAACTGTTAAGCCTGTCTTAATGTGGTGTTTCCTAAATTTATTTGACCTCAGAACCCTTTCTATTTCACATCCCACAGAACTGGTAACTCCGTGAAACACACTCTGATGAACATTGGGTTAGAGAGTAATGAGGAAACAGGAGAGGAAAGAGATAGTGATGAGATGCCCAGAGCCCCCTTATTTATCCAGATGAAAGCCGGAGGGGCAGACCTCGTGGCATCATCCATACAGACCTCCACACCTCACACTACTCCCTGCTGAAAGAATAACCTCTCCACCCCCTTATGCCTACCCCTTTCATCCTGCACATACATATATCCAGCTGAGAGATCACACTACGTGCTAAGAGATGAAACGTACATACCCTCAAGTAACCCAGGCCCACACAGAAAAACAAACAATATCCCCTTGAACAGACGCCCCCCTCCTCTTGGCTGTGTCTTCATGTGTCTGTGTGTATCTGTGTGCAGGGTCTTTGAAGAGAGCATACTAAATACAAACTGTACAAGCTAAGTTTCCTGAGGGCTGTGTTGTGGAGATGAGGGTAGTGGAGCTGTATGGGGTTTTCTGTTTGTTTTGTTTCAAGATAGGAAGTAATCTGAAAGACTTTAGGAGCCTAGTGGAAAGGACTAAGTGATGGGTTAAGTTGTGGAAATTGAAGTATAAAGCTTTACCCACCATCACTGAGATCAAGACATAACTGAGGATACATATGCCTGCGTCTAAATCTCTGGGCCACAGATTGTTTTGGGAGGGGAGGAGAGAGAAAGATCCTCAGTGAAGTGAGTTTTTTTCTTGTTGATTTCCAGCAAGCTTTGTGGTGAGTGGGCTGTTTTGTGTAAGTGCTGGGCAGGTAGGGCAAGGATCACAGTGCTTGCAAGTTGTCATGACTCTTGTTTGACTTTGATTGCCTAGTCAAAGGGGCAGAATCATTCTTGAGGATCTTATTCTCCCAGAAACAAAACTTTAGGGGAAATGGCTGTGGCTTAGCTTTTCAGTTGATGCAGAGTAATAAGCTTTCCAGTTGGTTTTTCTCCCGATTCTAGAAAGGTGTTCACACTAAGACTGTTAACTCCAGGATTTGCATAAGTATTCTAGCATCTGTTGGTTGACGAGTTGGTCGTTGTTTCTCTTTGTTGATGATTGTGTTAATACCAGTCTTATAACTTGAAACTTATCTAGTATGTAAGAGCAGTTTGGGGTTAGGGAGGGAGAGGAACAAAGAGGATGAAAACGGGATGTTTTCTCTTTATTGCTTAGATTCTGATTTTCCCCTAAGACACTTATTTCTCAATCATAAATTGGTGGAATTAACCAGAGATAAGAGGAAGGGAGTTACAACCATCTTGTTTAATGACAGTCCCACTTGCATAGAAAAACCTGGGTAAATCATAGTTCCTCAGAGTCCTGAACTCAAATGGAGCTGAAAAGAGGGTCATTTTGCTGACTGGGCTTCTTAGAATGGATGTGACTTGAGCAGCCCTCCCTCCACCTCCCATATGCTGCTTAGAGCATCCTCTCTTCTTTGCCTGGAATGCTCTTTGCTTATGTTCTTATGAATAGAGCAAAATGACCAGCAAGATGGCAGGTCTTGCCCTAGGTCCTCAGAGACAGGAGTATTTTTAGGATCAGTATTAGGAGATGCCCCAGGAAATAGTAAAGTATTGGGTTCCAGTGGTGAAAGTAGATTATGCCGTTTCCTTTACCCTCCCACTTTGCCTCAGTCTTTAATACATATCAGCTGTATATAAGCAATGGTTCAGACCTGTTTTGGATCACAGACCCTTTTAAAAATCTGATAAAAACCAGAGCCCATCCATGGAATTGCTAAACTGGGGCCAAAGAAGGGGAGTTACCTGACCCAATATAGTCATTTCATATTTGTGTTAAGAATTACGGGACAAGGATCACTAAATATTATAAGGACTGAGATACCAGAAGGTGAGGATAGGGTGTGGTATTCAATGACTAGAAGGGTATTGCTTACATTCTACTCTATGTTTTAAAAATATCTAACATGCTGAGAAATCCAGCTCCTTACCAATCTTGTTTTAAGGACTTTGTGGAAGGTGGCATTCCTTACTATCAGAAGAGCATTATATGGGGTTCTTCTGAACCAGAGGCATGACATCACGCCTCTTAATCACCAGTTGTTAGCCTCCAACCTTTTATCTGTTTTAGTAATTATAAGGATAAAAAGTGAAGCCCCCAAAGCATAGGTGCAGTCATAACACCCAACTGAAAGGTCTCATGAAGTCTAAGGGCCTTCTGCGGAAGGGGCAACCCTTTGAGTCATTTCTGGTGTACCATTCTCTTTTCTACCTCAGTCCAACACCATCTCTCCTTGGACGAAAAATAAAGTAACAGCCATCAGATGGGTGAATAGATTTGAATGATTTTTCCCACTCAGAATCTGCCTCAAACTCTCATCTTCGTCCCAACTCCCTCTGTCACGTGTCCTCTCTACCCCCTTTAAATGTGTTCACTCTGGGCAAAATGTATAACAGAGAAGTTCATCTTCAGGAACCTGTCTCCTTTTTCCCTCTGTGGTACCTCTGCTCTATTCAGGGCCCAAGTATTCTCCCCTTTCCACCCCATCAAAGAATCTTTTATATAGAAGAATGTAGCCCAAAATGTTGACTTTTCCCAGGGCTATTTACATTTTAAGCCTTACCTCTAATTGTGGAAGAAAAAGCTTGCCCCTTATTAAAGCAATGCTCTGCCTTCGGAGGGGGTGGGCCGTGGTGAGTCAGTGGTAGAATTCTTGCCTTCCATGCTGGAGACCCGGCCAGTGTACCTCATGCACAGTCACCACCTTTCTGTCAGCGGAGGCTTGTGTGTTGCTGTAATGCCAAATAGGTTTCAGTGGAGCTTCCAGTTTAAGACGGACTAGAAAGAAAGGCCTGGCAATCTACTTCAGAAAAATCAACCAATGACAGCCCTATGGATCACAATGGTCCGATCCTGTTGTGCATGGAGTCATCATGAGTGGGAGGTGACTGGAGGGCAGCTAACAGAAACAACATGCCTTCAAAGAGCTAACCCAACCAACCCAACCCACTACCATCAAGCTGATTCCTACTCATAGCCACCCCATAGGGTTTCCCAGGCTGTAAATCTCTATGGAAGCAGACTGCCACATCTTTCATCTGCGAAGCCGAGGGTGGGTTTGAACTGCCAACTTTTCGTTTAGCAGCCAATTAACCACTGCACCATCAGGGCTCCTTGCAAAGAGCTAAAGGGCTGATAACCCGGGATAATATCCCTCCCTTTCTAGCACTCCTTCAATCAAACCACTGTTGTCTATTTCCATCAAGGGCAAGATGAGTCCTGACTCAGGTCCAGAGGGTCTAGAAGGCAGACTCTTTCCATCTGTATTCAGAGGGGTGCACTGGATGGGGGTGGGGCTGGGCAATGACAACAGGAAAGTGAAATCTATTCTGCTTGATCTCTCAAAAAGCCTGAGCTGGCAAAATTTCCCTCTATTTCCCAGGATGCTATATTAGGCAGCAGTGTTTCTTTTCTCAAAGTGGGACTAGCAGCAGTAGCATCACCTGGAAATGTGTTGGAAATGAACATTGTCAGGCTCTACCATAGACCTACTGAATTAGAAACTATGGGAGTGGAGCCCAGCAGTCACTTTTAACACACCCGCCAGCATATCTGATGAAAGCTAAAATTTAAGGACCACTGGCTAAGGAATTCAAATTCCATTTAAAGTGGTGGCCCTTGCCCTCTTCAAATGGGTAGGGGGAGGGGATCGTCACACCCCTTTTGTCAGGTTTATTTTCTGCAACCTTGCTAGGCTTGTTACTCCCCAATTCTGTTCCCCTTCCAGTCTCAAGATCTTCCCCAACATTTAAATCAGTGAAAGAATTGAGGTCAGTCGCCAATTTCAGAAACTGTGGTCAGGCAACTACCAAGTTCCCTTGGTTGGTTGAGGCTGGAGTTTCCGAAATAGGCACTGAGGATACTTGGGTCCAGAAACCTGAAAGGACAGAAAGGAGCAGAGCCCCCAAAGAAGGGAAATGCAATGTAAGACTGGCATCTGAGGAAGTGGCCTTCCTTTGCTAGTTATCTAATAAGCTGCCCTGGAAGGGGAATGGGTAGGCATTCAGCACAGAGGCAGAAAGTAAGGCCAGCTGTGGCCAGGTTTTCCAACCTCACAATTGGATTGGAGACTAACATGGGACCATGCAGTGGATTTCTAACCATGATTTGGCCTATCCTATAGGCAAGGTAAGGAGCCCTGGTGGCAGGGTGGTTAAGCGTTTGGCAGCTAATGGAAAGGTAGGTGGTTTTTGAACCCAGCAGCCACTCCGTGGGAGAAAGATGTGGCAGTCTGCTTCCATAAAGACTATAGCTTTGGAAACCCTATAGGGCAGTTCTACTCTGTCTTACAGGGTTGCTGTGAGTCGGAGTCAACTTGAAAGCAACAGGTTTGGGGTTTTTTTGTTTATAGACAAGGTGGGAGTACCTAGGTGGTGCAAACGGTTAAGCGCCCTCGACTACTAGCTGAAAGGCTGGCGGTTTGAACCCACCCAGAGGCACCTTGGAAGACAGGCCTGGCAATCTACTTCCAGAAGGTCACAGCCTTGAAAACCCTACAAAGCAGTTCTACTCTTCACACATGAAGTCGCCATGAGTCAGAATCAACTCAACAGCAGCTGACATTGGCAAGGTCAGGAGTTCATGGGTGCTGCGAACACTCAGCTACTAACTGAAAGTTTGACAGTTTGAATCCACCCAGAAGTGCCTCAGAAGAAAGGCCTGGCATCTACTTCTGAAAGATCACAGCCATTGAAAACCATATGCAGTGCAGTTTGCCATAAGTCGGAAGTGACTCAATGGCAACTGGTTTGAAGTGTTTTGGTTTTATGGGCAAAGTCAGCAGGAGCATCAGGGTGCCCCTACGGTGTGAGAGAGAACCAGGCTCATTGAGAAAGGTGTGACATAGGTGAGATTCAAACTCAGACTCTGTTTACTAGGTAGAAGTTGTAGCCAATTAAGCCACAGCACCCACATCAAAAATGCATTCTCTTTCCTCCAAATGGTGAGAGGAAAATG